CATGAATGTATTTAGTAGTATACATATGTATGTATGCACAGGTGTATATGCATGAAAATGTAATTGCATATGTAATTGACTCAGAGGGAAACACCTGCGCCCAAGCTGTAAACGCACCACGTTTTGACTTTTTGAACCAATAAAATAAAAAACAATAACTTAGTTAATGCGGCGAGATATTGGAAATCAAAGGAATTTCAGACATACATACGTTTGCACTTACATTAGACCGTGCCACCTTACCAGCAAAGAAATTTTTTTTTTGTCGAACCTAGGGTCGCTTTTTTATATTTTTTTGGCGACACCTACATTCGGCAAAAAAAAATTAAATAATTCTACTGGAATGGTGACAAAACTTTCGTTGCAAAAGTTCAATGATAGCTATAATCTACTGACATTAGGATGGTACGTAAGAGTGATTAGAAGTGAGATCTGGTGAGTGAGTACTAGAACGGGGTACTTAAGGTTAATGAACTTTGGAATATAAAAAAATTATGTTCGATACAAAAACTTTGATATATCATGTTTTAAGATATGACTGAAAATGAGGAAGATAAAATGAAAAATTTAAAGAGGCTAGTAGGCGTTCGGCCAAGAAATTTATGTATATGCATGTATATCGAGCCCTAACGGCCAAAATAACGTAAGCGACATTTTTTTTCATTTTCTTTTCGATGCAGTAATGCATCTAGATGCTCTAGGTATATCTCTGCATCAAAAAGAAAGTTTTTTTTAAAAATGTCGCTTACGTTACTTTGCGGTTAGGGCTCGATATATTTCTTTTTCAAATTGCCTTGCTAAAATACTTTAGATTCAGGGGTGCATGACGATTTTATTTGAATTTTTTTTTGCTCGTACGGTCTAATGTGCATACATATGTACATATGTACTTATATAAGTATGTATATGTAAAACATTTTTATATGAGTGATTAGTTACTTACGAATTGAACGAGTTTCAATATGCCAGGCACTGTCGTAAAGTAACCGATATTGATTTTCAATGCGCTGAGACCACCACCGCCACTGGGCGCTGTTGTTTGTGTGGTAGTATTGCGTTCAACGGTAACTACTGTTTCCACCATTTTTTTTATGATTTTGTGTTTTATGTCTTTCTTATTTACAAAATTTTCCTTCTTAATGCACAAGTGACCGAGCTAACTAGAAAAATAATAACACAAGATTAAAGGGGTGGGGGTATTAAACACAATAGTAGTTATATATATATATGAACTTTTTTATTTTGTTTGAGTTATTCACATTCAGGTTCACTGATTGCAGCGCGTAACTTTCGCTCTTTAGAAAATATTTACTACTTGGTGTATTTTTTTTATACGATACGCATTACTTGTACTTATAGTACTTATAAGTATGTATGTTTTGATGCGTATAGCCAATAACCGTATAGCGGCAGAGTTCAGTCGTAACTAACGGTATGTTTAGGTTTTAGTTAACCTTTAAGTTGACCAAAGTCCGTAGACTTTACTGTAAACCGATCATTTGCTAAAACAAGAATAAAATTAATAAAAACAACAAACCGGACACTCAGGGAAACACACACGCACTAACTAGTATTGTATGCTAAGTTAGAATGAGCGAACCTGCAACAGATTGCCACAACACAAGCCAAGTCAAGTCAAGTCTCGCGGCCTACTGCTAGCATTAAGCCAAAACAGAAAGAATTCCACAAAAAAAAACAAAAACAGAACTAAATAAACGGTCATACGCCAGTACAAAAATAGTACATGCATATACTAACTTATTTTTACGATTATTATGTTATTCTTTCTGGTTTGGATTTTCTTGTCCAATAGTTTTTCACTATGAGCGTTGATCGTTATTACTGGAGCACTTTTTTGTGTTTTTTTTTTTCTATTTGCTTTGGGTTCACTACTAGGCTGCTTAGAACTTTAGTTGGCTACTAAATATGTACATATGTACGTATGTACTCGTATATACATATGTAGATGTGAACGAAGTTTATGCCTTCTGCATTCGCTTTCACTGCCTAACAAGACTCACCGTTCCGCACCGATCTTAGCCGTTTGAACGCGTTATTGCAACTGATTGCTTCATTGCGAGACGCTATTTCCGAGTTTGGACAAACTCTCTAAAATCCAATGGCGGCGCGGTGGCAACTGTTGCTCACTTAGTTCGCTGGTTGTTAGCTGGCGCGCTCTTCCAAATACATACGACATACATATGTATGCATGTGCATACACAAGTAGTGAGCGCGCTTTTTATTAATTTACTTTGGTTGGCGATTTTTGCATGGGCAGGTGTTTTCAAGCTCTGAATTTTGAGGCGAGACGTGGCTGTTGAGTCTGTGACACCACGCCGATGCATTTGGTGTCTCTCGTCGGTTCTGCTTGTTCGATATTGTTGGTAGGCGGTCGAACACCTGGGACTATAAAGGCCTACGAGTGCTGAGACTCGTCCTGACTGCTTGGCTGCGAATATTGTTGAGCGCTGCTCTGTATCGTGCTGCCTCGAACGGATGGTCTATGTACGGCTCGATGTGAGGTCACTAGTCACGCATGATGCTGTTTTCTTTCACCGTCAGCATCTGCATTTCTGCCAGGTGATACTCGGACGACATGAAGTGACAGCCTGTGGTTGTACGTAGAGCTCCGTTCTGGCAGGTTTGTAAGTTTCTCCACTGCGTGTCGCTCGTTCCTGGGGACAACACTGGCGCTGCGTAGTTTACCACCGACCGGCCGATCGCTTTGTGAATTGTGGGCAGAGTTTCCTTTTCGGCTCGCCAAGTGCTTTGTACCCGGCTGGAAATTTTTTACAAGTGGATGTGGACTTAGAGAGTATAGGCTCAGAAGGTGGCGAATAGGTGTCGGCTCTAGCCGTGGATTTCGTCTTTCAATTCGTATAGTCCCCATAGTGTTCATACTAGTCCCCGTTCATGCGGTGATGAAGCAAGGTAGTTCGGAGAAATAGATATTTACTTAACAGGCCAGGTCATCAATGTCATTGTCGAACGGAAAACTTTATCTAGCAGCTGGGAAGCTTGGAAACAAAGAAATGAGGATTGCTGATAATTCGCGGTCCACCGTATGATTTCCTGTCATCGACAAGTAGAAGATCTTGGTCAGATATTCCACTGTCGGCAGACCCAACTTTTTCAGTAGCTGAAGAGGCGCACTGTTTTTTTTGGCAGTGTACATACATCTCCTTCTGATCTGGGTGTGAATTGCCGGCTGAAGTAGCTCGCGCTTCGCTTCTGATCCGACGAGGTGCGATCACCAAATGAAATTTTCACTCTGCAATCCGCTTCATGGAATTGGGTACGGACCTTACAGTTGAGCAGAGTTTGATCCCACCAATGGTGATGTTGCAGGTCTTCAGATGCTCTTCAAACCTTTTCCGCTTATGCTGGCTTGCCAGTTGCCGAATGTCCAAAGTAAGATCTCTAATTAGGAAATCCGTGGGATTGACCGGGAGAAATTGATCACGCATATATACCATAATTACCAGACGCTTCAGCCGGAAAATTGCGCAGGTTTCTGGCATGCACCTCTGTTGGTTCGAGAGGGTGACAAAGGTGCTTTCAGTAACTTCCGCGCAGCCATCCCTAGGCCTTCTTGAAGTTTAGATAGGTGCGGTGAATCGCGGACGCTAAAGCGGCTGGTTTATCAGTCGAAGGCACTATAGTTGGACAGATTTTAATGTCAAAGACCATTATGCGGTGAAGTCCCCTACTACTATATGGTTTTTACTCCCTCATTCCTTTATTCTAGGAAGGTGTCCCTGCAGTCGATGGCTTCTTCAATGACTGCACTCTATTTGGTTAAGTTTAAAGACTAGGCTTCCGCCATTGTCTCGCTCGCAATCTTTACAGAGAATATTACAACTGCCTAACAGAGAGAAGGGCTCGGCTTCACTTGCCATTTTCCATTGGCAAGAAAAATGGCTGCGCGCTTTGTTGGACTCTGCAAAAATCGCCAAGATGGTTCCTGGGGTACTTGATTATTGCACCACCGTATTTCACGAGGTTGTAGCCATGGAAGAAGGGGCGCCGTATGGCGTAAGCAATAGAAGGTCACATCCCTTGTGGCCCAATTTCTGTGTAACCCTAAGCCATAACCAATTCTTGGGTGGATCCACCCCCCGCAAGAGTTGCACCTAACCGAAGTGGATTTCTGATGGAACCTTCTCTGGGTCGACCAGTAAGGCGTTGTTCCAGGGACGAGCAACGATTGGCTGCTCGCTGGTGTAGATAAAAGGTCTCAAAGGATCATAACAATTAATTATCCCCAGTAATTAATTTACATATTAGGCTCGCTATGTACTTTTAATGAAAACTTTTTATGAATAAAAAAAGTTTAGGGAGAGGCTCTATGCAATGCCTTCCTCGATCCGGTCTAGGTAACCGGAATTACCCAGATACCCGGAAAACCCGACAACCCTAACGGCCTTGTCCCTGTGGACCAACCCTACAGAAGCTGCACGCTTCCTAGGGCTGCCGTTAGTGGAACTTGACGACAACGACTGAGATACCAACCGTCCTGGGCGGGGTTGTTGTAGCCGCTACAACAACAACAACCCAGATCTATGGCCCTATTTTCTATGGCGACTGATAGCCGATGGCCAACCATATACAAAAATTCGAATTACGTATGGCAACTGGCTACTGAGTCTAGTAGCGCAATTTGCTGTTTCCCGTTTATAACGATTTTATTTGTTTACAGAATTTTTTAAACGCATTGGAGCAAAGTTGCCAATTACTTCGAAATGTACATTTCGTAAATTCGGATATTGTGTGCGTATTTCTGTATACTGAGATTAATCGCTATACATAATACAATGTACGATACTGGTAGCCACGGCTACTAGACCAACAACTAGACACCAGTTGCAATACATAATAGGGCCAAAGGACTGGCACTCCGGAAATACTCCCCAAAAGTCTGGGGAACTTTTTTTGTATTACTAACACATCCCTCATATTGAAGGTTTTAAAATCACTAGCATATCAGCAACAACTGGGTGTATTCGAACTGCAATTAAAGGGGCATTGTTACTTTTTATGAAGGAGCATCACGATCTACGAAAATTTGTGCAACTCTCCCTACGTCAAGCGTTCGTAGCTCTCACATTTTAAATTAAAGTAAAATCACTATATAAAAACTTTTTAATACATATGCATATCAACATGAAAACAAGCATTGTAAACATTATACTTATAAAATTAATACAAATAAAATTGATAAATGTCTTAGAACAAGTAAATATGTCTACATGGTAAAAACAATAAATTGTAATATCCTAATAATTAAGATGTGAGACCCGCCTGGCGCATGGTGTCTTGGGTAATCTATGATTTATTTCGTAAAAAGTTTATAAGCTCCATATCTTTTGCCATTACGGTAACTCTACGTGCATGCAATGCCAAGAGATTTGCATCCTCAAAACGTCCTTCAACGTAGGCCTCAGTGGCTACGTGCAGGGCCTCTAAAGCCTTTAATGTTATAGATCTTACATCCGTATCATTGCTCAACAGTATTTCTCGCACAAGACGACCAAAGGCTGCGCGTGGTATCATTAAATCCGTCCGTGCAATTAATTGTGCGTGTAAAAATTTCCCTTTACGTTGGGTTTTACGTTTGTGCGGTGTTGCTGCTTTCGTTGATGCAGTCGTTGTTTGTACATGTTCCAGCGTACCCTGCTCTAATGGCCTTTGCGCCTTCTCCAATGGTTTGACCGCTGTGGCGCCGACTTGTTTAGCTGAAGACCTGTTTTGGCTAGCCAGAGTTGCTGAACTATCTTTATTAACACAGCTTTCATTTTGCTTGTCCATATTTGTAGTTGGAGCAACTGAACGATGTTCTTTTGACGAATTATGTACATATCGGCTTCCGGTATTCGTAAACTCCAAACCATAGTCAGTACCATCGGTATCAGGTGCTGGTGAGCGGAAGCCTTGATCATCTGTTGCTAGCCCATCTTCTGCTGAGCTACTAGTGTCCGTTTCGCCCAAATCAGCAGCTGGATGCCTGCGCTGATGTGCAGATTTTTTAAGCGCAGAATTTGATCCAGGTTTTCGTGGTGGTCGCATCTTTGTCCAATATAAAAGCTTTCAGTAGCAGGGAATTACAAGCTTCCTATCCTCCAGAATAATTATTTTATGCCGTTTAATAACAGAATCAGGATATGTTTGATGTATTATTAAAATAATGGGAACATGCACGGTTTATTTATTAAATTTCACTTTGATTTGAAATTTCTTTTGGTAAGGCAGTTCGTGGCACTGCCATATCGGCAATAGAATACAAGAGCCCTTACAAGGTGTCTGCAAGACCAATTTGTTATAACATGATTATGGTTTGATTACAGTGTTTTTTTTTTTGTATTCATTCTGAATACAGACAGCCATGAAGTCTGTATTTTAAAAACTTTCAGCTGGCAAGACATTAATTAGTAAGGAAATACTTCGACACTTATTTTGATACTAGTAAGTGTGCATGTATTTAGAATCCCGATTCATATTTCCATATAAGCGTGCGTGTGTTCCACTACGTTCGCCGGCAAATGCGTCACGCCGTCAATGTCAAATAAAATTGAACACGTGTGTTTGTATGACAGCTGTTACAGAGAACGCCGTTACGAAAGCGTTAACGCAGTTGCCGTCGAAAGTTGACATTTGAAATTACATTTGTGGATATGCTAATCAGCTGTTGTTTACACAACAATGCGTGGCACAACGCAAGGTGTGTAACAGTAAATTGTTCAACGTCGTCAACACACCAATGGATCAACGCAACGCCGCAGCAAATAAAATTATGTACCTTCAGCTTAATAGCCCAGTCATGCATAATTGTACTGCTATACCATTTTTACGCAAAAATCAAAACCCAACAGAGTTCTACATGTTAAGTGCTATGCGTTGGGTAACCGCTTACACGCAAAGCCAATTTAATAGATTCTTATGACAACTCTCATGCAACGCTCCTCAAGAAATAATGGAACGAGCATCGGGCACTGTCACACGGTCAGTATTTATTGACGTGATTCAAATATCGCGATATTGGCTGCGTTTCTTTATACATTCCAGATAGTCCCATTTCACAGCCAGAATAAACAGAATGCGTTTGAAATATACGTTAACATATCCTCAGGAACGTTCTAAAGAATAAGTAAACAAGAAGGTTTATTCCAAACGTTCAGAATAAATAATGAAATGACGGTGTAACATGCAGTATTGATGGATCGTGACCCATATCGCAAAATTTCTAAAAAAATTTAAATCTGTGTAGCACTTTCAAAACGCGATCCATACATTTCGTCAGTACATCTTGTACTCTCATAATGCGAACATCGAACACGTATTCGCTATGCCTTCTTTCTCGCTGCTTAAAACCTTTCAAAACAAATTGAAGAAATTTTAATTAACATAGGAAATTTTCAAATAATTGTGGAATGCTTTATCTGTAAATTATTCGTACAAAATAAAAAATATTTCCTTGCATCATAATAAGCGCTCAGCACAAAAATTATGCAAATACTGACGCGATTAATATTGAACATGTAGCATTCGTGCGCGATCCTTCAATCCATCAATATGGATCGGGATCCAAATATCGTGATAATTACTGACCGTGTGACAGGACCCATATATTTCTGTTGTAACCCTGGGTTGCCTTGTGCTCTTTTTTCACAAAAAACAGTAGAAAACCGTAGTAGAAAGCATAGCAAATTCCATAAGAACTGCGTACTGCCTGAAGGAATTTTGACTCAAGAAAACTTCTTAGCCCTTTTTTGTACGTCATTTTATATGGAGTTTTTGTTTTTCTTGACAGCTACATACAGGCCTCTAACTTAGTCCCGTTGTCTCATGTGGGCAACTTGCTGCTTTTGAATTTTTATAAAGATGTGTTTTTCAATAAAAATATGTGCTCAAAACAAGGGAGTATGCTATTTTTGTGAATACAGTAATTTTCGTCATGGGGATTGTACTCGTACGCACTTTTGGAATGAAATCTTCTAGGATGAAATGCCCAAGTACAAAGACTTTTCAGCAATGAGAATTTCGCCTGCGATGAAACTGACAGATCTTCTGCGATGGTTTTACACTTTTCACTTTTGGGCGGATTTAAAATTTTTGGGTGAATTTTTTTTCGGCTGGAACTCAGGATTATGTGGACAAAAATTCCTTACTTTCTCCTTATTCATTTCCTTATTTTGTCTGTTTGGACCTTAAGCCCGCTTTAATCACAATAGCAACCCTAAAAACTTATCGTATCGTGACATTTTGGAGTGCTTCTACATCTACGTCAAAGATAATTCGTCTCACTACTATTTCACCAATTACATTTTTAAAAAACATAAATATTTAAAAAACATGGATGATGAAAAATTAATTCAATTAGTGAAAAGTAATGAGCTCATTTACAACAAATATGATGCGGACTACAAATCTATGGAAAAAAAGAAGGCCACTTGGCAAAGGATAGCACGCGAGATGGAGTCCACCGGTGATTGTGCAGCTAGTAGATGTTTCTTCACAATAAAACATTCCTTATATTTTAGAATCGGATTGCGTACGCCGTTGGTCATGCCTACGTGATCGGTACACCAAGGAAAGCCGCCGTTTGACTGCACTTTCTAATAATGGAATGACAACATCCCAGCTATGGCCACTATTTGCAGAAATGGAGTTCTTAAAACCACACATTCTCAATCGCAGGTAAGAATGCACTATTATTAATTTGTATTACCTACTTGTATTAATTTAAAAGCTCTTTAGTAAATCAATACTAGGTACCTCGTCCTATTCGGTTAAATTAAAAGAGCCGTCAACAGAATTTGAAGAATGTGACTCGCATTTGACAGAGCAGGAAGATCCTATAGAATATGAATATCTTACATCATTTTTATCGAAAGAAGAAATAGAAATACAGCAAGAGGTATTCGATGAGTATCTACCAACAGAAACACAATCGCCCGAACCTTACCTTACATCTTCCACACCTTACCATAAGAGACAAACCTCCGATCCAAAGCCTTCGCATTCATCTACTTCGAATACTGAAAATCATCATACCAAAGGTAGAAAAAGATCTTGTGAACCTGATGTCGAAGAAGAGCTAAAAAAGGCTTTGGAAATATTTAAAGAAGTTTGTGGGGCAGCAAGAATGCGTCGACAAAATCCTGCTGTGTATGGTTTTGGACAAATGGTTGTCGAAACTATTTGTCAAATGAGTACACGAAAACAGGCTATTGCTATGCAAAAAGTTACAGAGTTGGTAATGACTCTTAAAATGGAGCCGGATAGTATGGAGTAGGTGTAGAAACTTGTAAATATTTATCGAGTTTAGTTTGAAAGTAAATTTAAGTGGACAGTAATAAAAACAAAGTATGCAAAATTATATAATTTCTCAATCTATTTTGCTGTGTGGCTCTTGTAGGCGCAGAAATGAGCGTAAATATTAATGCTATGGTATTTAATAGCAACGAAGAATGTGTCAGCTAAACCCTTGTGCACCATTCTGCCAATTCAAGTGACCAACCTAATTGTTATCCCAGCTTTGGTTGCTTTTCGAAGAAATGAATTATTTATCAAACAAACAAACGTAATGCTGCAACAACCCCTAAAAAAGCAAATAAAGGAATTATAACCACGTACAAAAACGGTTACGTTCCGGCAACCATCTGGTCTACGTCACAGAAACGAACGAATTTATTCGCCGAAAGTTTTAATGCTCAAATAACACAAGAAATAGCAAAACACTAATTAAAACCACATATTTTTCGTTTTGTTTTTGTTGTATTATCAATTTAATTGTTCTGCACATGTTTTTATTCTCAGACGATTAGTATTTTTTATTATTTATTTTTGTCGTAGTAGCATTGTTGCATATAATTTCTATAAGGACAAATAATTATATTTGTGTTTGTATATGTTTTTGTAAGGAAAATGTTCTGCTTATCTGGAAAATGTTGTTGATTTTTGGTACACACTTAGTAAATACAAATAAAATATTTTAAATACATAGTAAGGGAATTTTAGGTTCGATGTCGTTATTCGCAATTCACCAATTTTTTGCATATCTTAATATCAATATTTTGAATTTTCTTTTAGGAATTGCAAACGAGATACATACCGCATAGCGAATTGAGAAAAACTGAGCCGAAACTCCCTTATACATATTTACTTTCTGTCACCAATGTGCCTACATATTTTATATACTGTTGTCGGATTTTTCGTCATACTGCACACATACATAAGTATCTACTTGAAACAAATCTTTACGCGTTTTATTTTTATACTTTATACAATACCAAAACTTAAGATTGCGTTTACGATTTTTCCTTAAAGAAAAATGGAACAAGCTGCTGCACCGCACTACTTACTTTTGTGTGGTGCGGTTCGTTTGTGTATGATTAATTGCTTACTTAACTTTATTTAGGTTAAACTTTTCAGATTAGTTTAGAATAAAAAAGGATGACAGCAGTGTTGTTTGTTTTTTTCTTGTATCCTTAAGTATTTTCCTTTTTTTTAATTTTCGGTTCAAAAAGTTTTACTAATTATAGTTATGTTATTTTATTTTAATTAATGTCTTATTAAAAAATAAAACATACAGACATGTTCTGAAATTCGAAACTTTGAAATCGACTCGATTTGCCAAATATTTTTTCATTACAACTGATGAAAAGAGTGAATATTCTAATTGAAAACCGTAAAAGAAGCAGCATAGATATGAAATAAATCGTTTTAATGCGAGACTTGTAAATTTTTTGGTTAAAAAACATCGAAAAAATTATCGAAATCGAGTCGATTTCAAATTTTCGAATTTTAGAACATGCCTGATAGACAAATACCAACACTTCAACTTTTCTGTATTTTAATGAGTGTCGTGTTTATTTCCAAGTATTTTAATTTAATAACTGTTGCATATAAGCAACAAAATACCTTATATAGTTGCGCGCAAAGCTGAATACATGCCACAAAAGTTGCCAAAATTTATTTGCAATTTTGCTGAATCTATGCCAAACGAAGATGTGTTTGCTTTCTATAGTGTTTTTGTTTTGTGTTGCGTTTTCCTTTAATAATTTTTACACACAATAGAAGCTGTAAGCATTTGTGTGATTTTTGTTTATTTAATTATAATTATTTATGTGTAGTATCTTTCATTTTGAGATTATAAACACAATTGCTGTTTAAAGAAAAAATCGTGGGAGGAAATTCTAAACGCATATAAAGCGAAACCGATGGTCGTGTTGGATTCGAGTGGCTGCCCAAAATAGTATGTTCCTACAAATTTCGGTCGACAATTTAAGTTCCTCCTCATTAAAAGCTACAAGCGCCGAATTTTTTCGATATTCCACAATGTACATTAATTTAGAGCTGTGCGTCAAATTTTGGTGTTTTGCAGATGTTTTACACAAAAATCGGCGAGTATATTGCAGCCGAATAAACGAAAAATTTATTTTATATTTCTTCTAACATTTTATTAAATTAAAAAAAAAAATTATGCACTTGCAATCTTGCGTGTTGATTAGAACATTTTCAGGTGCTTAAATTAACATTTCAGCTGCTCTTGGTGGAAATTCCTTTAAAAATGTTTTATCAAAAGAAACAGGCGCAAGTCCTACGATAACTAACATACCTTCACATATAAAATCGCATTATTTTTTTGCCTCTCAATTTCCGTAGTCGGAATTCGGATCAAATCATATACTTTTTCATTCATTTCATTGAATTGGGCATTTTATGCTGGTGGAAAAGTAATTTCTGTAACTTCTCGCTTAGAGCCAACCTAAACCTCCAACCGCTACTTTAAATCGCATAATTTACATCGACATTAACCATTTTTACGTATTCATCGTTACTTTATTTGCAGCTATGCATTAGAATCTCCTCATTTTACAAATAATTCTACTTTATTTTTTTTATGAATTTGTTTTATGCACAGTTTAGAATTGAAAATATCATGTTTTTAAATTAAATTTAATATATAAAATTACAGTGTACTTTTTAGCTTTGAGCAAAAAATAATAAAAATTAGCATATAAAAATAAAGAATGGCAATTTCGCCAATATTGCCAAGCTCTTATTCGTAATTACGCTAAAGCAAAATCATTTACTTGGAACACAAACGCATTAGAACGGCTTAAAACTGCTTTAAAAACATATGTAGACGCCGCCTTCCCTAAAACTCTCCAAGTGCTCACTTTCTATTATTTCATGTATGTTGTTTGAGCAGCGTTGAAAGAAATAATTTTTGCCTACCTACGCTTCGGCCAACAACGTCAGACAATGTATTTGAATGTGTGCCAACTTAAAACAAGCTTAATTATTTTATCTTCCCTTTGCTATTTTACCATGCTTCAATAATACATAAATAATTCAATTTTTTTGTTTAAAGCAATTTCAACGCTTAAATAAACAATTGCAAAGGTATTGCATTTATTAGATCGTTTAAAAAATATTTAAAATAATTACTATAAAATTGAAGCAACTTGGGAAAACAACAACATAACTAATGTGGGCGTCACACATGATTCAACTTAGAGCAAGATAATAGTGTAAATTTGTTTTTTTTTTCATCCACTTGTGTTGCTTTTGCTTAGTAGCTAGCATTATGCATTTGTTTTGTTTGCTTTCAAATTGCAAATATGTATATCTTTTTAACCATCTACATGAGAGTTTCTCGTTATTTGAGTGAATTGTTCTCGTAATGAATCCGTTAATTTCGCTCGTAGAGGGTTCTAAGGGTTTAGCATGTATAAATTTACTCCCTTTGGGATTTCTTTTCATTACACTCGTCATTACCGCTTACATTCACATAAGTTTCACTCACTTCATATTTAACTTATATTTATCTTGCTAACTTGTTTTTGTTGCTCATTCCTCATTCCAACGATTGTTCCGAAGCGCACTGTGGTGTTATACTTGTTCTTATGTGTTTTCTTGCTTTTCTTCATTAAAACACTATCTTCGCTATGCTTAACACTCGCTTTGTGAATAATCCATTTCTTTTTTCGCACTTCTCGTTAGGCGATCAAGTTCGGCAGCTGCATCGGAGCGCATCGCCAACTTATCAATGGCACCATCGGTGCCATTCGTACGTGGTGTACTGCTCGCATTCGGTGCATTGGGCGGGGTGGCAGGCGTAGCGGGTGAACCCGATTTTTTGTGCAACAGCGAATTGAAAAAGTTGGCGAGCACACCTTCGTTGCCCGGTGTAGCTGGTGTCGGCTTCACGCTTACCTTAATGGGTGAACCCTGACCACCGGAGCCAGGTGTGCGTTGTTGCATGCCCTTGTTGGTGCCGCCTTGATGGCGCAGCGGTGAATCGCCACGCGGCTGGCCGCCTTGTTTGAGGATCTCTTGCTGTCGCGACAGAAAGGCCTGTTCATCTTCGGTTTGCATTTCGATTTCACGATTAGCAACAGTCTATGTAAAATGGAGAGATCGCTTAGAATATATGTATATACTTGAATGAGTGCAAAAGCTGCAACTTACTTTTCTGGATTGTGGTGGCGAGATAATGTCTGTGTAGTAGTCCTCTGCCTTACACGATTGCATATTTTCGTATAAAATACTTATTTTCTTCAAGCTATCCCAACCTGCAGGACTGTGGTGGAGAATAAATGGAAATGAGTATCGAAAAGTTGGTGCTCTGTTTTGTATTAAAAAAGACTAAAACTATTTATTACATTAAAACTGCATCCTTCTCGACAAATAACGCAGGCGTTCGGAATGGTAAGCCGTAAATTCGATGTGTCAAATATTTATATAGGAGATCACAGTTTTTGTCTTCTTTAACGCTTGTGTAAAAAAGTGATGTGCCATGCTGCAAGCAAAAGCGTCGTATCCACTGCTGTATGAAATCAAAATGTTCATCTCGATAATCGTACTCCTTTTCCAGCGTTGTCATGTAGTCCGTCTGAAATCATAATAAGCAAGCAAGTTTAAAGTTAATTTCGCTTTAGTGTCTTCATATCTTTACACACCTTTGTCACCACTACAACGATATCCAGACCGAGATTCGTTGTCAACGCGCCCTCGGTGAGCGGCAGCAGATCATCGTCATCAATCGAATTATTTCTCATCGTACGTTTTACTGGCGACCCGGGATCCAAATCATCGCCCACCTCACAATAACTCTGCCATGTAGTGATTAGCCGCTGTCGTGCCTCTTGTTTCTCTTGTGGCTCCAACTTCATGCTCTCAATGTGATCGGAGAGCACTTTAATCCAGTGATTCAATTGATCCAGCCAAGCCCATGGCTCCGTCATTGAGACTGTAAGTATGACGAGGGTGTGTTCAAAGTTCGTTTCGTTCAAAGCATAACGCAGCAGATTTGTATGCCCTGGATCGCCATCAAGAATCCAGACACCTAATCGGGTTGTGTCTATAAAGTAATGTAAATGTAATTAAAGGTAGTGAAAGAATTAGTAAAATATTTAAATGTACTTACCATCTCTGTACTCATCTTTCACATCGATATACGCATACTCCAGACCTGAACCCTTTTTCGGATCTTCGACACCTTGCAATTTCGCAATAAGCGTCGTTTTGCCGGTGGCATTATCGCCTAATACTAGTACTGATTTATTTGATGGAAGTTTTGTGCTGCCTTGTTTTTGTACTTCACTCAAAATTGCAGACCTGCAAATTGTGGACAAATAAAAATAAGAAATCAGTAAGTTAATAACGAAATGGGTTAGTCAGCAAATTGAGTAGCAAGTTTTTAATGTCTAAATATTGCGTTCTATTGTACTTAAGTAGTGCCTGACTGCCCATGGAGGCAGTGATCTATGTTTTTGGTTGACCTATAAAGGAGTGTACCACCCACCAGATATATTTTTAGCAGCAGTCATTATGCGACAAATTTGTGTTTGTGTGTATTAAATTACACATTATTTCATACAAGTGCAGCTGCAGTAAGGTTTTAAAATGCAAATAATGTCTGTGTGTATGTATATGTATTGCAATGCGGATATGGTCAACAAGACAATTTTATGCGGCAGGCATTCAAAATCAGCGACTAATTCGGAACTTGCATGAGAACGCGCATAGAAAATGAATAATAGTGTAGTGGAATTAAAATATGATTGCAGCCGATGTAGCTGACACAGTTTAAACGTAATTTGCCACCTAAATAATGCAATAATTTCTAAATAAATTTGTGCTTGTTTTGGCCAGCATATAAACCCCAAATTACGTTGATTACCAACTCAAATTGTTGTAATGACACACAGCTATAACGCCCAACTTACTCAGTGCCTCTCAGTTGCTCTGCGCCGAGGATGCCAATACCAATTTCTTCAAATAAAGAACGGTGTTCAAATCGCATGACTTGGCGAGTAAAATTTTACTACACACTTTTCAAATGCTTTTAATTTAATTGCAGTATTAATTCCTATTCAATTAACTAATATGTAGTCTTCGAGATATCTATCAATAATTTTGCTTAAGAGTTTTTTATTAATTTCCAGAATTTATGAACATCAGAAAGCGTGCGCTGTCTTTACTCTATAACTTCCTTTTTATAGGACTTTAGCTGCATGCAATCGCTTTAGAACCGCACAATTATCCGTGTATCACTACCACTAAACGTTTTCCGACATGCAAATGACACACCATAAGCGATACGGAAATTCCGTCTGTCCGTTCTTGCATCTACTTTAACACGTAGTTTGTTATCCTTTAAATACACAAATACGAGTAGTCAACGAGTGTAGCCTCTTCACAGCTCTTTGCACTTTTTATTACTCATTTATTTTCAGTACACTCTGCGCCTCAATGCTTGCGCCGAGTTAACTGCCCAGTCCACCCACTACAACACCAACCATTTTCTATGATTTATTGCACCACATTTGTGCTTTTATTTTTGTTCAAACAATTGTTTCATTACATTTGAATTCAATTCGTCGTCTATTGATTTTTTTTGAAGGTGTTTTCTTGCAACTTTAGAGCAACACGAACATCACTCTCTATTACGTGCAGCTACTCGTGTCGTTGGAGCCTTTCGCCAACTTTGGACAGTGGCGGCTACGCTAGTGGGTAGTGCTTAGCATTTTGCACTTTGCGACAACAAATACTTCAAATAAAACACGTCGCGCCACTGTGTTCTGCTCTTTAACACCACTTGGAATTTTTTTAATTTTACATGGATATTTCCAGTTGAATTAAAAACACTATTGTGTAGAAAAATGGCAACTCCATTATGTGTAAAAGATAAGAAGCGGTGTTATTTTGTTGTTGTTAACTCTAGGAACCAACAGACATTACACAAAACAAAAACAATCACTGAATCCGATGGACAGCTATCTTAGGGACCTAAAGCGTTCGGCATTCCAAAGAATCGTACAACACTTAAGGAAATTCAAGAAGACCTTGCTGCGGTCGCCGTCGGCAGGTGAATAGAGATGTATACTTCCCTTCGGCTCGATTCCTATTCCGAGGCACATCCAAGGTAAAGTGGTTTCCCAATAGCGGTCCCTGCGGTAGCATCCGAAAAAAAGTTGCTTACTAAGCTTAGGTTGTTCTCCCTAACTGGGAGCATAGATGCCTCACCATGGTGTTCAGGCGACATTAGAAGGTACTCTATCACTGTCCGAGGTGGGTCGTTCTGGCAAGTATGTAGCCTCGTCCAACTACATAGTATATTTCATAGCCAACCTGCTATTTAACTTGTATGTTGCGCACAACATCTTTTTGTCTTTGCCCCAAGAGCTATCGGCGATCAACTTGAAGACTTTGTTGGGGAACCATCGGAATCAGTGTGGCATCGACGCGGATCCGTAATTGACCTCCTTCGTTCACCGGGGTTGAGTCTGGACAAGTAGGCATAATGTTGAGGCTACTACAACATTCTGAGCGTAATAGCGCCAGAGTAGTGTGGGTCTGTCGTGGCAGTCGAAGGTCAGAGTCTGCAATAATTGGTGATTGATTAGGCTCCGATTAGATCAGCGAATCCCATCGAGCCCAGAGCTCTTCTCGATGGCTTAAGAAGTGCGATTCACGATGTATAGGCCGCAGGCAACAAATTTTCAACTTAAGAGAATGTGTTAAGATAATTATACCTCATCCTGTAGGCAGCCGCGATTTTCTTAATTAGGCCGACTCTGAGGTATCCCTCCTAACTAATTTTTTCGCCAGGCAGTTTTCCGCATTCCCCTATAGCTTTCAGCACAATTTGGCTGACTTAACTGTTGTTCTAATATCTAAAAAACTTGACTAGACCATAAACTGTAAAGCATCCGCACAGCAGGCTGAAACGGTTTGAATAACTAAGAGCACCTATCGTAGATATACTGATTCCCGATCCTACAACAACAGCAACTACAACATAATAAAGGTTCGATTATTCGCCTTTTCCAAAACCGGGTTTAGGGTTATTCGAAAAATTGCAATTTGAAAAAAGCTTACGTTGGTATGAAGTCAAGACCAAAAATTGCAAAATAACTATAGTAAAGGGAGCTTTTATTTAGAAAAGAGTAAAACAAAACAAGTTCAAAGTTTTTCTTAGAACAAAAGTAAAGCAAATAAAAATCAGTGAAAAATTCACGTTTGGTCTTATTTTAACGTTTTTTAACGTTTTACGGATTTGAAAAGTGCCCTTGCCACCGTAGTCGAGTGCTTAGATGTGCCTAATGCCACTCGGGAGGTCCATGGTTCCATTTCTGGTCCCAGCAATATCAAAAAAGTTTTTTTTTAAATAGCGATCGTTCCTCAGAAGTAGAACAAGAATTGGAGGAGAAGCTTGGTCAAACACGTAGAAAACGTTTAAGCATCAAAAATACATTTATTGGAATCAAATATGATGTACTGTTCGTCGCCAAATAGCCTGGGATATACTTTTAAAACTATTTAGGAGTTTACCTTAAACTGAAAAAAGTATTGAAATTATACTGGTATGTATACTTTGACCGACATTTTTGTTATTGAATCTGTAATAAAAGCTTGACCCTAAATAGATTTCAAGCTGTGGTTATGACCTTTGAACGGGGCAAGCAAGTGAATTAACTACATATTTATCTACTCAATCCATTTGTAGATCGCGTCGATCCGATTGCCCTATTGCGAGGAAGCTGATGATAGTGGCATCAATAAGAAAGAAGTCCTCAGTTGGTTAGAAATATATCCAAAACTCTGATAAGAATTTTCATTTCGCACAAAACTGCGCTTTTAAATGAATATTGTGTTACGAGACAACGTTCAAGTCAATGTCTAGTACTTAAGGTGATTGTGGTGAGTAACGTTGCCAACATTAAGTCACGACAAACCCCGAAATGTTCCGAACATGTCCCCGAAGATCCCTGCACAGTAAAAAAAACATAGTTTCGGAAAACCCCCAAAAAAAATCACGAATTAAAATTTCGAGTAAATAATGTTACACAACGTGAAATGTTTGAGATTTCTTCAAAAAAGCTGTACGATATTTTTCACTGACTTCATCGAGGTTGGTGTAAATAGGCCGAATCCTATAGTGGACAGCAGCTACACACTTCTCGAATATATCACGGTGCTGTACATACGCCCATGTTTACACCATCGTTTCTAACGTACGCACATAACACAATTGAAGCCAGGCCAAGGAGTAAGTACCTGACTAAAACAAAAACAAAAATAAAAAAACAACGACTACAATGGGCACATGCAACACCCGTCCGCCGTTGGCATGGTGCACGAAAGCCCAAACGAAAAATATTTTCACTATACCATACACTATTACCACCATATTGCAGTTATTTTCAATTCAGCCGTAATACAGGCAGGATATCCATTCACTTTTGCCAATCGGATTTGTGAATGCGCAAAAGTGTCTAAAAGGCCAATGTAGTGCAAAATTGCAAAAAGAAACGAAATGCTCAAAATGCGCGCTTAAGCGCTAAAAAGAAAACACATATCAGCGGTTTTAAAGTGAAAAGCTTCAGATTTTAAATAAATTTGAGAATGATATTGCTCAAGAAAAGACGATCGCAAAGTGAAAGTCGAAAAGTGGAACATTCCCAAAAAGACGCGCAACCGTTCGATAATTACGCCGATGGTGACGGACATTACCGAAACAGAGTGAGGCATCAACAGCAAATAACTCCAGAACTACAAAAACAAATAATACAAAGTTTTGCATTTGGAGACACAACGAATAGCTTGGAGAGGCGAAAAACATCGGCACAAATGATTAGCGAAGCCAAATCAATGTTGGCGGAGATCTCAACAACGAACGTGATGCATAGCAGTAGTGATGGCGGAAGCGGTGGCAGTAATCGCATAGCGAGTAAGTTGTCGGTTGTGGAATGAGCGCATGAAATGCTGGCTGGAAAAATTTTGGTTAAATTTATTTGTCCTTAAACTTTATGCGCGCCAAGTGCACATAAAAATAAATTCATTTACATTGCGGCGGCCTTCATTTCTGATCAATCTGCATTTTTCTTAATTTTTTTTTTTTTTACTTGCTCCTTCCGGTTAGTTGGTGGCGTGCGAGTGGTCAGCACGCGTCGACCCATCACGCCACGTGAGCCTGGACGTGCGCTCTATGGCAAGGTCGCATTGGCCGGCAGGCCGCCCAGCGCATTTTCGTAAGTTTCGTAAGAAGCGCACTCCCGCTACATTTCCGCCGCACGATTTTAATATCCTTTTTAATTTGTTGCGCCCTTTCTCCCATCTCCCCCGCTTCTGAACAGGTTACGTTACTTGCAAAACGAAAGCCAACGACATGCGCCTAAGACACCCGCACTAGAGCCAATACCGGTCCAGCAACAGCCACAGGAAGTCAATGAACCGAATGCAAATGACTTTGAGCAGCAACAAATAAGACGACGCGCGTCAAGACGTTCAAATTCGTGGGACGAGCGCTGCGATTACAATGAAGTAAATTCCGGTGGAGCAGGTGTTGGTATTGGTATGAGCGGTGGAGGTGGCACTGGTCAAGCGAAGCAAATACCAAGGAAGTTGCCTGCTTTAGAGGTTAGAGGCGTATCGTTAGAGGGTAAGTGGATGGCAGAAAGCGTGTGCGTTGCCTTTAAATCTCGATAGTCAATGTTACGGTAGAAATTCATTTCTACATTTCCTGCAGCTAAGCAACGCACCGATGCCGCCGCAAATAGGGAACATTTCAAAGTTAAGCAGGGTAGCAGCGAAAACAGCTCCTTGGATTTGAGTGGCTCAAATAAGGCGATCAATATTTTAAGTACACGCAAGTTTCAGCAACGCAATTGCCATTTATTGGCACAATCCCCCACTGAGAAGTTGATCGGACTTTTGAAAGAGCATGCTGGCCTCAAGGAATGCTCCGATGAGACAGCAAATCATATTAATTCGGTATGTATAGTGTACAGTGGCACGTGGTAAAGAACCATTTGTCTTTTTTTAAAAATAATGAGTGGAAGAAAGGTTTGGGAAACTTGATCTACGAAAGAGATCTAAGAACGATAAAGGCCCTTTCTGCGGTAGGATATCAATTCCGAAACGAATGTGCATACGATTATGAAAACGAACGCAAAATCGAAACGAAGTATAATGAATGTGAATATTAATGTGAATAATTAGGAATTTCGAGAGATAAATATCGATAGAAATACCACGAAATGTATCAATATTATTTCACGAAATATAACATTATTTG